TATCAGGTTTGCCATTTAAGCTAAAATTGCATCTTAGAGCCTTCTCAGTGCACGAAAATTGCCAAAAATCTTTGCCAAAAATATTTCTTAATATTCCACTTTGCTGCTCCAATTTTAAAATAAAATATAAAAATATTCAGAGTGACGTGAGTGGGGTACAGTTGCTGACTGGGATTGCTGCAGATAGGACTGGCTTTTCCAGAAGGACATAGTTTCCCATGCAATGTTACTGGAAAAATGTCCCATTATGACTAGAGAGATCTTATTTATAATTGAAAATTAAAGCTGGATGTTTTAGGTCATTTTTCTAGCCTTATGTATACAAAGGCAGAGTAAACAAAAAGAGATGTGTAGGATGTTAGGCTGTGTTTTTCTGCTTTATCTTCTAAAAAAAAAAACAAAGCAGTAGCCTGGAATTTCCTCTTATTTTAAGCTTTCACATGTAAATGTATTACTTTTGCTTTTGCATACTTATGAAATACAGATGTTTGCTGTGTTTAAAATATTTGTGTGTCTACAAGATTTTATTTCACATAGTGGTCAGTCTTTAACAAAGTTCATATCAAATCGAGTTGGTCTTTGTGCTGAGTCAGTGATTGAGTGCTCATTTGATTTCTACTTCTAGCGTAAACTTTTGGGACACAAGAGAAAAAGAATTTTTGCACTCTATTTTCTTTTCCTGTTTTTTTTTTTAATGGACATGTTATTTGTTGTTATTGCCAGGCTTGACTCGAGGGTATCCATGGCTGAAATAACAATATTTTGCAGGCTCGAAGGCTGTATGCGCGAAGCAGAGCTCACAACAGGACAGGGCTGCTGGTTTCGTTGTGTCCGTGTAACATGCTGTGTGCAAACAGGGCCATTGATTTCCAGGGAAAGCAGCCAGTGGGGGATTTTGTTGTGTAACAGGGTGATATACTCTTAGCAGTAATCAAAGCGTGGAGCTGGAGGCTCCTGCGGAGCTTTTGGGATGCTTAGGGAGTTAGAGGAGCTGTAAAGTTCCCACATTTTCCTTTCTTTCTTTCCTCCCTCCCTGCCTATGTTCATGCAGGTGCTTTAAGATCCTTGTGCTGTTTTCCTTGCTTCTTACTGTTGTGAATATAGATCCTAGACACACGCGCAGAGTTCTCACCGCTGTGTTGCAGGGGTGCAACGTGTGCGTTTGCAAAGCTGAGGGTCACAGCGCCAGTAATGCGTTGGTGGAAATGAACAGGACCAGCTCTGGACACTGCATTAAAAACTGCAAGGTGTGGAGGCAGCTGGTCGGAGCTGGTGTTCTTGGCCTGTAGTGCACCCGTTTGGGTAGATCTGGGGCAAATTCACATTATGCCAAGATCTTTAGAGACAGAGGACTTGATATTTTAAAATACATAAACAGAAATGCTTGGGAGGATTGCCACACGTTGCTTGGCTGCAGTCCCAATAGTAATGGTTTCCTGTCTGCTATTTCTGGATTTTACCTGTCCCTTCTCTGTGAAATAAAGGAGAAAAGAACCAGTGCGATTTGTTTGGGAAGACCAAAGTTCATCTGCCCTTGAGGTACAGCCACGCTTTGGGCGTTGCGTGGTGGGGACAGGACTGTGAGAACCCTCCCCTTCGTGGTGTGCTGGGCTGCAGCAGCATTCCATCCCCTGCTCTTACGGACCTGGGGAGTGCTTTGGGGGCAGCAGCTTCACACACTTTTCTCCTTTGGCGGGAGCGCTGGTGAACAGTTCCCATCGCCTCCCCAGCTGCTCATGTCGGTGCAACCTCCTCTCTTGGCATCGCTTTTTGTGCAGCTGTGTGGCAAATCCGACCAGGGAACTGATCCAGTTAAAAATGATTTTTTTTTCATACACTGAGCAGCAGTAAAGAAGCATATTCTGCTTTTAATGTGAGTTATTTTTATAAAGCTAAGCTCAAGTTCCTTCATTAGTTGGAGGACTACAGAGTGTATGCATAATTAATAGAATTTCTTAAGGTTTTTATTCTCTTAGAGCCCAGAAAAACTTGGAAAACGCATCCTCCCACATCTGTTTCTTCTGATCAAAGTCCATGTCTCAGCATCTGTGAAGCAGTTACCCTTCAAGATGATTCTTAAGCTGCGGCTGGTGCTCAGCAAAAAGGCAGATGCTGTTAAATATGTAGTGCTGGCAGGGAAGGTGGCCCTGGGCAGAGTGGGAGAGCTGCCAGGAGGTTGGGCTGAGCTGCGTTATGGTAGCTGGGTCGTTCTTTTGGGTGGGAACAGTGTGAGGGGTTAGATTTGTCAGTCATGTCTTGGTGTCCATGGACATGAAAAGAGCTAATCCGGGATAGCAAACATCTGTAACTCTTGCAGAGTGATCGAGTCCTTTGCAGAGGAGAAAAGCGACACGTTAGCCTGCAGAGCAAGCGCTGTAAGAGGAGGAGAGCTGCTGGCGTTACCTGGAGTAACGTGAGCCCCGTGGATGCGTTCAGCTCTGCTCCTCCGCCCGTGGCGGGCACTGCTTGTGTAACTCGGGATGGCACGTTCAGGGCACGAGCAAACACGTGACTGCCTGGGAGCAGGCAATGTTGTGGTGAATTTCCCAGGTCCCTTTATGCTCAAGGACCTGTTTCAGCTCTTTCTTTGCTGTGATGTTTTAGAAGCAATTGTTTTTTCACTAGCAACTCAGATAGGTGTAATGGATGTGTCCTACCAAAGCCTGGGAGCCGGTATATATATTTTACAAATGCTATTATGTTGTGTTTCTTAATACTCTCACCAAAAGAAAATGGTCTTGCTAGAGTTGTTACTTGTTTTAAAATGAAAATAGTGGAGGAGATGAGATGACTGTGTGGGAAGAGGGATGTTTGGGACCATAGGAAAAAGATAACAAAGCTTAGATGTTCGACAGCTTCTGTCTTCAGACGTGCTTCACGGGTTGGGCCCGGTGCTTGCTCGTGGTTGAGCTCGCCTCTTCTGCAGTCACTGGCCGTTGCTGAGACCAAGTGCGGTGTCCTCCTCTGCTCCCTGCGGGGCTTCACTGCTCTGAAGGCTGGAGTATGAAACAAACTCAATTTTTCCTGGCTTCCCTGCCCTTTTGTTGAGCTACCACAATTTTTTTCTGCTTACTGCTTTTTATTTCTGTCATGTTCCCATTTTCCTATGTTTCTCTGCTATTTTGGGGGGAGAAAGGCCTCTTTAGTTAAGTAGTTGTTCCATGTTGTGTTTTCTTTGCTCGTTGCTCACTCCTGGCCTTTCCGGCAGCGGTAGCAGTGTCTGCTGGCGCAGGGGGTTTCTCTGCCATTTTTTGGGGAGAAAAGCCTCTCTAGTTAAGTAGAGAACAACTAGTTAGTAGTTGTTCACGTTGCTTTTTCTTTGCTCTTTGCTCACTCCAGGCCTTCTCGGCGGCGGTAGCAGTGTCTGCTGGCGCAGGGTGCCCGCTTCCAGCTTGGCCTTGCAGAGGGCAGGCAGTTTGTGGAGCAGGATCACACCAGGGCCCGCAATAGGGAATGTGCCCAGCCCCTTCGAGTTGTGCTCTTTGTCACTGAGGGCTGCTGTCACTCGGTGAGGTGACTGGATGTGGCTGGGGGGGTTGGAGGGAAGGAGTCACGCTGCTGGGGACGGAGGCGTGCAGGGCGAGGCCTCCATAAAGCAGCTTTAGCTGGCACAACACCAGGCCCAAGCCCTGTGCACTCAACGTTGCACTGTGGTATTCTTAATTTCCACTTTCATCATTATATTCCAGTAATGTTTTCTGAGTGTAGTTTTTTTTTTTTTTTTTTTTTTTTTTACAAAAAATGCATATTCAAGTTCTTAAAATTGCAGTCTTCCATTTACCTTGAAGAGCAGTCAGTGATTCTAATTTTTTTATGTACTTTTTTTTCATAGAGTTTTTTTCCAGGTGTCTTTTTAAGAAGGTCTGTGCTATAGGAACGTGTTTTCACAACAACATTTAGTTCTCTTAAATAGATAACCTGTGTTGTGAAGGTGACCTGCAGTCCAACTCGTGCATCTCCATCCGTTGTTGGTGCTCCGCTGTTGCTGCCCCGCGAGGTTCCAGGGGCGCTGCTGGCTCCCGTGTTTCCCTTTTGGGAGCCGTTCTGCTGAGCTGGCCCAAGGGCTGCTGCAACTTCCGACTGCAAAACTAAGCGGCGAAGCTGATTATCAGGACACACATAATTACACCCGTAGAAAGGGGGTTATCCTGCGGTGGTGTTGCTGTCAGCAAACAGAATTTTGGAACAGCTGCTATCACAGAACACCATCATGTTAATAGTGAATGACCGCTCTGTTCTGCTTTTAATCTGCTAAGTAGTCTTTAAAATACGTGAACCAAAAGGGATTTTGTGTCTTCTCTTGCTGGAATACTGTAAAACTAATGATTATGATAGTGCCACAATCATTTATGAGGTTCATTCTGATAGAATAATATACAACATAAAAATCTGAAAGCATTTATCTTTGAGTCAAAGCATTTAAACTGTGGGAAGCAGTTTATATCTTAAGGCAGAAAATAAAGTGTGTACAATAGTTTATTTGCTACTTTGCCGTTATTTTAATGGAACTGAAATATTTATATGTGATCAAAATAACGTGACTACCAAAAACTTGAAGGGAAGAGCACAGAAAAACTAAAGTGTTGGCAGTTAATAAGTTAAATGAAATATGGGAAATCTTAAGTAGCCTTCTGTTCTGCCATGTAATTTTTTTTTCCTCAGAAAAATGCTATTGTGATACATGGATTTTCTGAGAAAGTAATAATGTTTTAAGAAGCATGTTGAATAGGAGATGCTTTAGAGATGCTTTATAGACCTATTTTATCTTTTGAATCCTGACTACATCTCTTAGTCCAGTACTGCTCTTTCCATATGAGGAATGTCATATACAAAACTTGATCAAAAATTAGCGTTAGTCTGGGGTGGGGGGCAGGACAGGATACCTCCACTGCCCCTGTCTGGAGAATGTGCAATGTCCATTTTGGCAGGGATGAGAAAGTATTTGGTCACTGCAGTCTGAACTTAATAAGATATTTAATAATTTTTGCTTTTTTTTTATAGAAAAAGCTACCAATGAATATAACACCAGTGAAGACTGGGGTCTTATTATGGATATATGTGACAGAGTTGGAAGCACTCCGAACGGGTAAGCCGCCTCTCAGCGCGACACCGTGTCGATAATGCTCATGTGAAAAGACCCGTTTCAGAAGCAGTGCTTCCCAAAACGCTCCTCACAGCAGCTATGCAGGAGTGCTGCCAGTGTGACACTCCTGTAAGCTATACAAATATGTGCAGTTGGCTTTGAATCGCTCCGAAAAAAATGTTCCAGCAGAATTTCCAGGGGAGCAATTGGTATATGCTGGGTGCATTCCAGTTTTTAAGGAGTTGTGCGCAGTAGGCTGACTTATTCATATTTAATGATCTTGCATACATTTCAAGAAGCAACTGTGTCAGTAGGAGAAAATGTAACTCGTTTCTTTACGTATGTTCTATTTAAATAGCCATTCATGATGAAAACCTTTGTGTGCTTATTCTGTAGAAAGAGTGGGGCAGATAGAGGGTATCAAGGGAAAAAACGGGGATGAAAACCCAGATTAGCTTGAATCAGCTTGAAGTTTAACCTCAGTAATACAAAAACATGAGTGCTAATTCAGTGATTCTATAAGGGCTAAAAGTAACTGCTGAATTTTAAGGTAATGTTTTGAGTGCTGAAATGTTCTGAATTTTGCGATCAGCCTGTCCTTGGAACTGGTAAGTAGACAGTATCCTTAAGTGAGTCTTGGAAGCTTTTTTTAAACAGTTATACGTAATGTTTAAGATTGCACTGAGAAAGTTCTTTTTGTGTTAATTACCTCCCACAGGAAAGAATGGCAAATCTGTTCAATCTGGGGATCTTTAGTCTTTAAGAAAAAAGTGTGGAATGTACTTTGATTCTTTTCTGAAGTCCTTCCCTCTCTCCTGTCTTTCTTTTAATGCCAGATGATGTGACTGTTTTAAATTGGTTTGTTGCAGGGGAAAGGCAAATTTAAAAACTCTTGAGTATTTTTTTTAATAATTGTATAAGGAAAACCTATAACTAAACCTGAAATTCTGAGTTTTAAAATGTCACTCCTGATAGCATATATTATTTTAATTTTGCATAGTTGTCTCTTCCCTGCCTGTCCCTACTAAGAACGATTTTATGAAAATGATGTCACCTGAATTTAAATACATACATAAAAATCTGTTGCAAGTATGTTGACTTTCTGGATATTTTGCACATTAAATATGACTCAACATGTTAAATGTTGGGACTAAAGCTGTGCTCCTCTGGCTGTGTCCATGTGAGCAAGTAACTACCACCACAGGACTGGAGTAGGAAATCAGCAGTTGATACTGAGGCCCCTGCATCCACTCTGCAGCTCAGATTTCTACCTCTTCAGTCCAGATTTCGTCTCGCCTCCTGAATGGAATAACTGCCCAGGCCTTGGTTGAAACCGCGCGCAGGAGCGGTTGTTGGCCGTGCCCTGACGGCTCCCGGGGAGGTTGGAGCGTGTCTGGGGCACAGAGGAGCTTCTGGCCTGGTTGACTTGCCCCAAACCCACCAGTGAGCTGAGTCCATGTGCAACTTGTGGAAACAATCGCAGAATATTTTTTCAAAACTAGACTACTCCTCCAAACCCAAATGTGAACGTAGATGCAGCTTAACTTACTGGCATGAGATCTTTCTCAGTGTAGATGTAATGTGGTGAAATCTGGTTTAAAACCAACTTCTTTCGTGTTAACAGTGAAACAATTTTTGTTTGATTTTTGCACAGGCCTTTTTTTTTTTTTTTAAGCTGCAGTTCTGCTATGATTCTCCATTGGCAAGAGGGAGAATTTGAGCTGCAGAAGGTTGTCAGCTACTTCCCCACCCTCTTCCATGGCAGCTCCTTAGGGAGCCTGATGGCAACGGAGCCCATGTGAAAGGTGCTGCAGGGAGGGGAGCAGGTGCCCGTCGCTGGCCTTGGGGACAGGCAGCTCCAGCCTTGCAGCATCCCCACGCGCCGAGGGCAGGGGGAAAAGGGGCTACAGCAGCTCTTCCTGCAGGCTCTCCTGTGTTTAATGCCTTCATTTCATTAAGTCGTGGTGCTAATGAAGCCTTACAATAGCCTCAGCTGTTAGCTGCCTTTACGGCTCATTTTAAATACAGAGCCTCTTAATAGAGAAATGTTTAGCTTGCTAATATTTAGCTCGCTAATTGTTATTCTATACTTGTACTTTACATAAAGATTTTTGGTGTGTTTTACATAAAGATTTTTTCATTTGTTTTGGCATCTTAAATGTCTTGGAAATGAGATCCAAGAGCTCACAATATGGGAATGCTATTTTTAAATTAAATCCACAGAGTCTTTTCGGTAGGTGATTTATGTAGTTTTTAACCACTGCTGCTGATTTTGTTTTGGTTATGTTGCCTTTTTCCATTGGCTTTCACCTCTATTTCCCTAAGCAATGGCCACTTCTCCCTTTATGGCTTGTCAGCAGCTTTATGGCAGCTGGTGCAAAATACATGCATACAAGTGGAGTCCGTTGTAATCTCATACATTTATAAAAGCATGTTGTTACATATTTTTTTCCAATATTTTTTTCCCGGCTCTGGTGTGGGAGAAGTTTAGTTCAGATTCTGTTTTTAATAGGCCTGGTTTTGTTCACTTAGCCTGCTTGAGTAGCAGATAGCAGACATTTTGCACATCATAATGTTGGTCACGTTTATCTCTATTTCTTTCCTAGAGCAAAAGATTGCCTTAAAGCCATTATGAAGAGAGTAAATCATAAAGTTCCCCACGTGGCTTTGCAAGCCCTTACAGTGAGTAGGCTGTGGCCGTTTCCCAGGCCTTCCTCTGGCTTTGTGTGTGCAGTGTGGAGTGTGCAGGGCTGAGTGGACGTGTTCCCGGATCTTCCGCGGCGGCGGTAGAAGTGTTTGTGTGGAACAAGGGCTCGCATTTAGCTGCTCACTTGTGCTTTTGATTTGGGCTGTTTGCACTGTTGTCACACTTTTGTAATTTTATTTCTGTTGTCAGCTTTTAGGAGCCTGTGTATCAAACTGTGGAAAAACCTTTCACTTAGAAGTATGTTCTCGTGATTTTGCTAATGAAGCTCGCAGTATAATAAATAAGGTAACTTTTTATAACCTTAAGTAGTGGGGGAGAACTATTTGATAACTGTCCTCTGTCAGCAGAGCAAAGACTTGGCAAAGCTAATGTTATAGTTGTATGCTAATGTTATAATTAATACATGCGCCTTTGTTTTGATGAAATTGAAGGTACTGTGCTGTGTCTTAACACTAAAACTTATTGTATTTCATGGCAAAAATAAAGTAGGCAATGAAGTATAGTATATGAAGTATATGAAGTAGGCAATATGCTGATATTTTCTACCTGGTTGAAGTCTTTACAAAATGACATGGGAAATGTTAATTAATTTGTGATTTTTCCTAAGCACAATTAATTTGATAATGGTGAAGGCAACTTTTCTTGAGTTTATTTGCCTGGAGTGAAATTCAGAGGCTGAAGTAGAAAGGGGAAACTGAGAAATGTATGTGTCTACAGGGCAAAGGAGGGGGTCCTCGGCATGCTCAGTTTCTAGGGATTCTCACAACACTGAATAAAGTGGTAATGACTGAGAAAAGGAGACGTTAGGGTCAAACTGTTGCTGTGAGCTAAATCTGGATGCACTGAACTGAATAAGCAGCAAACTGCTACTGCTGAAGGCCAAAATGGCTAATGGGTAGAAAGAAGATAGTCTTCAAAGAGGTGGGAGGCCTGGAATCGTCAGAGGTTGAGCAAAGCAATTAAGGAAACTAATAAAGCGCAAGGAAAATGAGTTCACAGCTCTTCTGTTTCTCACTTTCTGTGGAAAAATAGGCCTCTAAGCCCTCCCCTTTGTTCCCATTAGCATGGGCCATTCTGAAACAGAACATTGACCTTCATGGTTTGACAGTGTTTGCAGATGAAAAAACAACCTTTAATCCCACTGAAGAATGGTTTACTGGGCTGCAGTTTATTTTGTTGAGAAGGGCTTGTGTTTTCCCCCAGCACACTTGAAAAAATAATCTTCAGAGGGCAAAGAAAACTTACACCTTCTCCCTTTCCTGCAGTAGGGAATTAGTTCAGACAAGTGTAACAGAGCTCTGTGCTGCTGCTGAAGCTCTGTGGCTGCGTCCCTGCTCATGCCAGGCCGCTTGGGGCAGCCCGGCCAGCACCCTTGGTGCCCCACGCGGCACCTCCGCGCGGTCCCGCGCTCTGCCCCGAGACCCAAAGGGTGACACGCTGGGTGGGAGACAGGAGGAGTCACTCTAAGTGATATGGTGGCGCTCTGGATGATGCCTGGTTCCTTTTTGTGAGGGCATCGGTATCGAGGAGACATACTTATGCGTATAGGGATATGCACACATACACAAGCATCTTTCTGTATGCAATTCTGTCTTTTAGGCTCATCCAAAAGTATGTGAAAAGCTAAAAACTCTAATGGTGGAGTGGTCAGAAGAATTTCAGAAAGACCCACAATGTAGCTTAATATCTGCAACTGTTAAATCTCTGAAAGAAGAAGGTGTAACTTTTCCTGCAGCTGGATCACAGGTAAAAAATGATTTTTTTAAATTACGATTTGGTATACCTAATACTTTTTGCTCCCATGAGGCCTCAAGCAGTGACGGAAAATGGAAAGGTGTCCAAACAAGATCTTGTTTGCTTTCAATGAAAGAGTAGGATCCTTTTTCTAATTTGGTCTGTTCCCTGTTCACATTTCTCCACCCACGCGCCGTACTGGGTGTCTCATGACTCTTGGTGCTGCCATGGAGCACACGGTTTTCCCCGCAGAGCCTCCTGGGGCAAAGGGCAGTGTTTGAAGCTGAGATGTTCCTGAAGATCATCTGGGCTCTGCTTTCTCTTCCCAAGTTCCCATTTCTTGTGCGTGGTTTCCTGTGCCAGGAGGGCTTCCAGTGCCAGCCCTATCCTGTGAGCTTTACCTCTGCTGATGTATTTTGCCTAGTCTTATTGCAAGCAGAGATGATGATGATAGGATTATTTTCTAAGATTTGCTCATTAAACATTTTAATGGCAAATGAATCTGGCTAAAATCAATACTGAAAATTAGACCTAGGGTTTCTATTATATATTCCTTATGTGAAGCTACTTTTCTCTATTTTAGATGTATAGAGACATTTTATGTTTCTTGTAGTCTCTCCTTCTCCCACAAATTTAATCAGCATGTGTTTTGACACATATCCTTGATCTAGGATATGTATTAAAACATATGGCAGAAACATAGAACATCTAGAGTACTGAAAGCTGGAAAATTATTCTTGCTTTTGTGCAAATACTTATAAAATGATGTCTTGATGTTTTTACCTCATGTAGTTCCCTGCAAAAAAAGCAAAGCTGGTATTTCTTGGGATCTGCTATACATGTACAACATTGTCTTCTAGGACCACTGCTGAGACCTAGGCAGTGCTAGTGTGGGAAGCTTCCGTTCCTGATGCGTGGAGGAAGACTTCCGTGCTGAATGGAAATTCCCAGAATGATTTTGCCACGCTGTTACAGAGACTTGTATTACTCAAGTCAATGATTTCCAACTTTATGTAAATCCGCTCTTCGTTCCCATTCTTCTGTTCTATTCTGCTAGTCCGACTGCCTCAGCGACTCGGCAAACAACTGCTGCTCTGCCTAAATTACTACTGATGAGAGCAGCTGTTCAGAGCAGATGCTGAGCTGTGCTTCAGCTGGCCCAGGCAGGTCTAGCACGGGAGCTTAACCCGCTGCTGCTGGACTACGAGAGGAGCCTTTGAGACCCGGGGAGCTCCTGAGGGGCAGCAGCAGGGTGTGCACAGCCTGGGAGGTTATTGCTCCCAAAGACCCGGCCTTCCTTGGCGAAGGGATGACAGAAGTGGGAAGAGTAATAATTTCAATGGTATCTGCTTATTTACTATTTTTATTTCTTTCACTGTTTTTCTTTGCTGAGAGAAACAAATAAAACCAGATTGAGATTCTGGAGGTGGGGGGTTTGTTTTGTTTTTCTTTTCTTTGGAGACTTCCTTCCTTTTTCTAAAAGGTCATTTTGACTCTAACCAAGAACAATTTATTCCTATTTTTTTAAACATAGTTCTACAGCTTACTTTTTCCTGTGTAACATGAAGTTATTCTGCTACTCATATGTTTGCAGGCTACCACAAATGCTACTAAGAATGGTGCATCGTCAAGTAAAAGCAAAGAAGATGAAGATATAGCTAAAGGTAAATATCCTTAGCACAGCTTTTGGATAGACTCCTGCTCCAGGCCGTGTGTTGTTCAAATGCACAGTGCTAGGAAGTGGTAGGAGCCTCTGCTGTGCAGAACTTCAGATGAGGGCACACGGGGTTGGGAATTAGCATTCTGACTGGAAAGAGGCCTTGCAGGAGGCCGTGGGGTAAGATGTGTTTTGCTGAGCGTTGTGTGGCGACCGCGCTTTCTTCAGAGAGCTGGGACTCTTCCCTTTTGCACCTACATGTTTTGTTGTAGCCTTCATCTTGATGCTTTATAAATCTGAATATTTAAATGCTTTGTTATTTTGTTTTGTTATATATTTTATTCTTTTCTCCTTTGAATATAGTTGTTCAGATGTCAGTGAAGAGTTTACCAGTATTTCTGATCATGCTGGCAATGTTGCTGACATCGGTAGCACGTGAGATGATTCAAGTTGTGGGCAGTACCACAGAAAGCATTTTTTTCCTGAAATGTTTCATAACTTGCACATGATTGTCTTGCCTCTTAATCCTGTTGCAAGGCAGAGTAAAGCTGTTGAAATGTGAAATATAGCTAATAATTTGCAGCAAAGATTTTAAATTTCAAGTGTTAGAAGAACAGATACAGACTACTTCTATAATATACCTGTAAATGCATTTTTTCTCTTTTTGATTAGGAAAGCCAGTTGCTTTTGTATATAAATATAAAATAGGGATGAAATATATAAACTTACCTTTTTTTTTCCTCTCCTAATTGTAGCTATTGAATTGTCTTTGCAAGAGCAGAAACAGCAACAAACGGAAACCAAATCCTTGTACCCATCTGCAGAAATTCAGCAAAACAATCAGAACGCGAGGAAGGTGCGAGCTCTGTATGACTTTGAAGCAGTCGAGGACAATGAGCTCACCTTTAAAAGTGGAGAAATTATTTTTGTTTTGGATGACAGGTACAATATATTCAGCTGAAGGTGCCTTTATTCCAGAACATATCTGTCGTTAGGTTAGCAACTTTTTCCTCCGCATTTTTCTGGTCTTTCCCACATCCATTTACTATTTTTTTTTTTCTGTCCCCCAAGCTGTTCCCCCTCCAGAAAGGTTTCTAGTTTCCTGCAAAACAGCCCTGGCCTCCTTTCCCGGTTCCCGCGTTTCCTCCCTGATGAGCTGTTCCCTTAAAGCAGAGTTACCTCCTAGGCTGTCGATGCTGCACGAGCCTTTCTCTCTTCCCCTCAGCAGCTCTCGCCGTAGCCGCGAGGTCCCGGGAGGAGCGCAGGGCTGTGGCTGCAGTGCACAGGCTCCTGGTTGTGCTCTGCTGGCTGCTGTGTGGGAAATGCAGACCCTGGTGCAGGGTGGCCCTCGCTGGGACACCGCGGATATTTCGTTCTGTGGTCCAGGTCCAATTAGTTTGTTGTTAGGATGCTTATAGGGAAACGCTAGCTGTATATGCCTTAAAATTTTACTTCCAAAAATTGTTAAATCTCTGGCCATCAAGTATTCTCATTTGTTGGCAGTAAAATTGAAGAAAAAGCACTGCTGCCATCATCACCATTGCCCTAATGATCATTACAAAGCGCTTCCTCCTCACTAGTGCAGTTCTAATTAAATAGGCTGTGATAGGTCAATTAAATTTTTAATGCTAGTCCCTACTTGCATACTTTGGAACGATCATGTAATCAGTCTAAAGAATTAAGAGCTGAGTACAACTGAGCACTTGCTCTTGAATGCTTTTATTTCCCCCAATGCCTGTGTCAGACTCCTGGTTTTGTGTTCGCTGCCAGCCTGCAAATCTCTATAAATGTTCTCCTTCACCTTTGTTATTGGATACACAGAGAAACAGTACATTAGACATCACCAGTTTTCTGTCAAAAGTGCAAAATGTGCAGTTGACAGTAAAAGTTAATTGTTTGGAGTTTTGTAATAACAGCTTTATTTCCCTAGTGACCCCAATTGGTGGAAAGGTGAAAATCACAGAGGAGTGGGACTCTTTCCATCCAATTTTGTGACTTCTGACTTAAGTGTGGAACCTGAGACAGGTAGGTTAACTACTAAAAACTAGCAGATTATTTTAGGAAGGTGAGCTTATGTTGGAACTCTGAATTAGTCCTTCAGTAAAGCTGTTTCTTGAAGTGGATGTAAGGAAAGAATTAAGAGAAGGATCTTGATTGCTTTGAAAATGGACAGAGAAGCAAATGCCACTCCTGTAGCTGACTTGCACAATTTCTATATCTTGATTCTGAATTGGGACCCTTTGTCTTATGCAGAAGTTCAGTTCAATTTACCATAGTTCTTTGTGAGTAATCTATGTTTGAGTTCATAATTTACCTTCTTTTCGGATGTTTTAAAAGGGAGACTTTGACATCGGATATAGTATTGAATAACATTTGAACTTGTATCAATAATTTGTTAAAATTGCATTCTTAGCTTTATGCATGATCATGATTCTGAAATAAATCCAAACACTAGGAGGTTAATTAGAATTAACCATACATTTGTTGGAGGTGTTTTTGGATGCTGGTAGGGCTACCAAAGCCTCTGTCTTGCTGGGCCTGGATTTGTGGTCAGACTGTCAGACCAAAATACAAACTTGTTAAGGGGTTTTCTAGGTAAACCCATTCTCCCTTCTCCAGCAGTTAGGAGCTTGTTTCTTCAAGTGATTACTTGCATTTCTCTCTCATTTAAAGTTTGATGCAAAACGGAATTTGAGAAAATTCAGCTGAAATTGGTTTAAAGTTTAAATATTGTTCAATAAAAGAAAGTGCTTTTTAAATTGGTTTAGTAATACAACTGCAGAAAATAATATTTGCTTTTTTAGCAACTGTGGATAAAAATTCCGTAACTGTGGATACTACAGAAGAAATTAAGAAAGCAGAACCTGAACCAGTTTATATAGATGAGGTATGCAGTCATTTTCAGTCTATTGAATTATGTTATTTTATGCTGGTGAAAACATACTTTTGGTACTAGCTGACGAAATGCTAACTCCTTTATATAATTGACTTCTTATATGAAAATTAAAACAGTCTTTGTCATACTTCAGAAAAAACTGTTCTTAATCTTCTCTTGACCTTTCAGGAGAAGATGGATAAAACACTGCAGGTGCTTCAGAGCATAGATCCTACAGATTTAAAGCTGGATTCTCCAGACCTCCTAGACTCGGAAGGTATTCTGAGCACTACCTTTGCTAGTTCTTGCATTTCGTTTCACATTTTTTTTGTGGGTTCAGTTGATAGTTCTTTTGTGTTTGTTTGAACCTTAGAGAAACCTGGGTCTGTACTAACTGTGCTGTAGAAGAGTTTATTTCTTGGTGGGAGTGTGGGGCTGTGTTTCTAACTGAATTCTCTAATAGTTATCAAGGCAACTCCATGTTTAGCCATGTAATGAAAGTACCAGCTAGTCTAATGAGAGCACCAGCTCTGCAAGATCTGTTCTGCTATCAATACTCAGCCTGAAATAAGTAACTTGAAGCAAAAATTGCTCCAAAATATTGATTGTTAGAAATTCATTGTGCTTAAGAGCTGGTTAATTTGAGGTGTGTAAGAACAACTGAGTGTATCAAAAAAAGTATTCCTAGAGTGAAAAAAGTGAGGATAAAAAAAGCTCTTGATGGATTTCTGGAGAGTCTGGGTGCTCCTGCAAGAGGGAAAAATTGTAGATATAGACCCCACAGTGTGCAAGCCAAAATGCAAAAGTGTCTTCATGAGTGGTCTTTTGTTTGAAAGGGTAGAAGGAAAGAGAGGATGACAAGAAACCAGAATTAACAGTGTATTTTTCCTCTTTACTTTGCATGGGGAAAAATGAGTATTAATTAGAAATGATTTTGATGGAACAGGCATGATACACTCTCTGATTTTATATGCTATCTTAGTGTCATTGGATAGAGCATTTTTTGTGCTGAATTAGATTTAAAATTCCAACTGTGCAATGCATGAACTACTTTTGTCTCCACAGATATTTGTCAACAGATGGGTCCAATGATAGATGAAAAACTAGAGGAGATAGATAGGTGAGCCTTAATCTCAGCCATTTTCTCATTATGTATTAATGCTTAGGATTTTCAGTCTGCTGCAGACTGTCCACAGTGACAGGAAAATGTATTCAACTAAATCTTCTCCTTCTGGGCCCTCAGGGATATTTGATGTTAAAAGTGCGAGAAGGCAACTGACACTTTTACCTCCACATTTACCATACCTGTGAAGTGACCGTTTTTATTTATTTATTTTTAAAAATGTTATTACAGTGAGGCAGTCCCATTGGTATGAGAAAACTGCATGGATTCTGGAAGTTTTGTGATATTGCCTAAAAGTTGGCCATCTACCTCTTAATCTCTTTTTTGTACTCTCAAATACTTTAACAAACTACTTTTTGTTGTTCCTGAAAGTCACACTAGCTGTTAAAGGAAGCTCAGTGTCCGTATATATTTGTTTTGTAACAGAAAACATTCAGAATTATCTGAACTGAATGTGAAAGTTCTAGAAGCCCTGGAGCTCTATAACAAACTGATGAATGAAACGCCGATATATTCAGCCTACTCAAAACTCCACCATCCTGCACAATATCCACCTACGTCTGCTGGTGTTTCTGTGCAGGTCAGTACCCCTCTCTGGAAATAGCGACTTTCCAAATATAGTTTTCTATTTTAAAGGATGACAGCAGAAATGAAGTGTGGGCTTTCTTGCTAGCCTACGAACAATCTGACATCGCCTTGGGATTTTTTATAGCCTTTAGGATAAAACATCGTTTACGCAGTAGACCAAAGTACTTTCACTTGCAGTTATGTTCTTGAGTAATAAACGATAGTTGTTAATTTTTGCTGTATATTTAATACAAAGATACAGTAATTGACAAGTCTGGAAGATTCTTTCCATGGTTAACTTTTCTTTGAAGTTAGAATCGTGCGTTTCAGCAGCTTGGTGGATCTGCTTGCTATGAGTCATGTTCTCAATCTTCCAGCAAAATGTTACTTTATTATCTAATAGCAGGGATGTGACAGAACTTTAATATTAGTGCATTAATCATGAGCACAGTGCACTTTTTCTATATATAGAAACCTTGCTCTGGAAATAGCTCTTTTTTCCTTGAGAAATAACCATGTTGTATTAGTGGGCGTAGGAGCTCAACACTGATTTACAGTAGCTCTAATAAGTCATATTGGTATTTTAAGAAAACAAAACTGGAAGAGAAAGGGGATTTTAAGGACCCATTTTAGAGAAAATGCAGGGTCAGTGTTTTACGTGAGTTTTACCTTAATGTTAATGGTTCAGTGATAAAAGAACAGTTGCCATAGTAACAGCTAGATCCGAAAAGATCAGTCAGTAGTAATTCTGTGCCCTTAACTCTGGTAATTTTGAGAATTTAATTATATTTGGGGGTGAAAAGGTAATTTAAGCCAAAACACAACAGGAGTTCGGTATTTCTCCCAAGACACACACTTGAGCGTCGCGAGGGGGTGCTGATCACCTCAGCAGGGTTACTTGGTGTGACGTTACCTTGTCCTGCTGTGTCCGTACGCCGTCCCAAGCCTCAGAACATGAACCGTGCGCTTGCGTTGACTTCTATAAGCCGTTTGCCCAGCCTCTCCTGTCTTGGGTGGAAAAGGACTTGGGAGAAATATTGTCTTACCCAGAAATGCGAGAAACAAAAGTTCTTGCTGTTTTTCTTTTGTTGTAGTCTTAGAATATTGTCATATTCTGGTTTTCAAAATGTTACTCAGTTGCAAATCTCTAGGGATGTACATCTTCCCACTCAACGGTCTTGTGTTTGCACATCAAAATATGCAAGATGGAAATGTTAAATGAAAGGCAAATGAGAGGAAAAGAAATAAGGTTTCCAGGGGGATTGAAGATTTGTTTTGTTTTTATGTGATACAAAAGGCTGTTCTTTCAGCTTAAAAGTGCAACCGTTAAGCAGTGAGTTTTGGTGGGGGGGGAAGACAACTTGTTGGAATAATGAGTGTTTGTTTAAAACCTACACACGTGTTATGAGGAGTTACATATTTTGGTTTTAGAAGCTCGTTGGAAAAATGAACTTGTGATAGCCTCAGACTACAGTAGCGCTGCCCTTGAACCCATGCCTGCTGGTACATTGTAATTGCATTCCGTGCCATGCTCGCTGTTATTTAGTTGACAATAAAAGGTAGATGATGATGCTTCTTATTTACAGTCGTATCCTGTGCAGCCACCTAGTGGAAACTACATGATACAAGGTGTGCACCAAGTCACTGTTTCCCAGGGCTACAGCCTAGGACCCGATCAGATGGGGCAGCTGAGGTCTCTGCCTCAAAACGTGAATTCTTCTGGAGCAACCCAGCCTGCCCAAGCTGCATATTTAAGGTATGACTTTAGCAAACTGATTACTTCCTGCTAGTAATTACTATTTTATCCATAGATGGAGTATCCCTGGGATATTTATAACTGTATTTAATACATTGCTTTACCGTTCTGAAAACGTACAGATCACTTTTGGGCTAAGCCAAAATCTTATTTGCCAATCTGCATTCCAGAAGAACAGGTAGGAGTCCTTCAGCGCCCGTGTGTTTCGTTGCAGCGCCGCCGCGGACTCCGTGCTGAGCCAGGCGTTCGTGCCGCCCGCCGCC